ACGGTATATAGGAAGCCCATTATTGTGCGTTCTGCAAGGCTGCAGGAATCAGACACGAACCATATTTGTAGTTCACTCACTGCATGAGGACCGTAAATAATAACACAAAAAGAGTGCAAAGCACCAAATTAATATCATCAGTTATCTATTTTACACTGTCGTATTTTGTATGTTGTGGGACAAATATGTGCCTTTCGGGTACAATTTTGTTAAATAGACATGTGGGCTATGATTCATGTTGGTAATTTAGCAGCTTTCGTCCGATATGCCGACGCCTACACAGTAAAGAAGGCAACGTAGTTCTTATAAGTAGACTATGATGTTTTTTACAGCAGTCTGCTCTCCAGCACATATGGACGGAGAGGCGGGCTGCTATTTCCTTGACAGCCGAGAGAAGAGAGAGGGGACAGCGCGCCGCACAAAATCTCATATGGAGCTACATTTTTTTTTTCTCCGTCCAAGGAAGACAACAAAGAGCTAAAAGCCCATAAACGGTGCATGGGTCTGGGCAGCACCAATTGCCCAAACAAAAAGCACAAACAGAGCTCAGTTAGAATATCGTATTTAAAATACCGATATGTTGTCTGATTTTCCTTGAATCAGATCACGCTGCAGGCTGTGCAGGTCCGAAGCTGGGGAAAGCAACACGGTAATAATATGGCAAAGATAACCATTTCTGTGATCATGCGCGCACAAAGTAAACACAGAAGCATACTACGACGTTGCAATGTTGCATATCGGTTAGCACAGAGCGCCCTGTTCAATCACAGCCAGCTTGCAACAATGTTGCAGGCAGCGTGGAAGGCGGCGTGATGTCGTAAATGTCACCTTTTAGGTTTCACTGACTTCTGTTGGATTTAGGGGTAAAAATCCCGTTATTGCAGCAACTATACTGCACTCCGATACATAGGTGCACCTAATCCACCATACTTTGTGTGCAGGTCTGGCTGGAAGCATTGACCTGAGAATCTCAGAGTCAAATGAAACACCGGGTCCCTGATATGCTCAGGCACGAGAGAACACGGCAACAGACTTCACACCGTCTACTACAGATACAGACTGTTAAATGCACAGCTTGTAACGTTACAAAGCTAGCAGCTCGCCAGGTAACGTTAGGCTGAAGTTTGTTTACAGTGACATGTCGTTACCTTATCCGCTATAGAAAATGTGTTTTCTTTACGGTCACCAGGTGGAAATTTAGGCTCCTTAATAAAAGCCAAGTGGTTACCTGGTGGGAATGTTAAGTCACACAACATGAAAGGCCAAGCGAAGTTATCTCCTTGCCTACAAGTTAGTAGCCTATCCGTGTCAAAATGGCAAAACCATATGTCCGCTAGCTGGGTGGTTGAAGCGTGCTAGCCGTTTATTTTTTTTTCTCTCATATGAAATGCAGCACAATGTTGTTGCTTATGGAGAGCTGACAGCACAGTTGCCAAATGGGACTTTGCTACAGGGGAACCTCCTGCTTCATCCCGACTTCACTAAAATGTGACACAACAGAGAGATGCTGGCCGTGCACTCGTCGTTACACTACAAAACACACGCACACAAATACAGACACACACACGTCGCTCGTAAGTGTTTCTACTCACCGCTTGAAGTGCTCAATGATTTTCTCTTCTCGTACATTTTCGGGTAAATTTCCCACCCATAAATGTCTGGTTTCCCGGACCATACTGTGTGCTCCTGCTCCCCTATCATACAGATGAGTTTGCTATGTCAGTTTATTCCTGTGCAAAAAAGAAGAGGTTTGCAAAATAAACGCTGGACAAGGAAAAAAAAAAAAAAAATCCTCGGCGCAAATCATGGACTGGTCGGTGTGACCCAATGTAAACCATTAGGTTGAATCCCCGCACGCTGTTTGATACTCTTCACTGTTAAAGCGCGATCTTGCACTTCATGAACGCGCTCCGGACTGTTCCCGTGACTAGGCGCGCCCCTGACACCATGCGACCTTTGGGTGTCGAAAGAAAGCATGTAGCTTCCTAAAAAGATGCAGCAACTTCGCTTGTAATGAGAGGCACACCGCGCAGGCGTGGCTTTGTGTGTGAACTTCTTTTTTTCTCCCCGATGAGACAGTCCTCTGCACTTGCGCATGCGTGAGAAAACCCCTGGTTGAATGAAGGTGCTTTGACATCTGAGAGGCTTTGACTCACAGGAGGATCCCATCAGTGCTAGTTGGGTCCAGCAAGGTGAATCACTTTGCATAAAGTAAAGCTACTTGTTCCTGAGTTTTATATTTTTATAATCTTTTGTTATTGTAATAGGCTACATTTTGTTTTAATCAATGTACAGAAAAAACACCCCCACCCCCCAAATCATGGGCCCACATTTGTCTCCAGAATTTGAGTTAACATTTTACATCAGTAAAAAAAATATTGCATGCAGAATTTAAGTTAACATTTTACATCAGTAAAACAATATTGCATGCAAGGATTTGATCATACATAAGGGTTTGCAGAGTTGACCCCCTTCCATTCAAAAAGAATGGAAGGTAAATTCTAAAAAAGTTGTGTTGAAGATTTTGACACATAAAGTGTAAACTTTAGCCTGCAGGAAACAGGAAATAAGGGCTTGTTGTTGTTATGAATTTTAATAATAACAACATTTGAGGCTGTGATGAGTTGCAGTCGAACAATATGCTGTGACAAGTTAAAATCTATAGACCTCATTAGCTGCTCGGAAGTTAACAGAGCAGTTTCAACAGAAAAGATTATATTCTAGAATCTCTATTTTTATCTACTGTACTTTTTGGCCCATAGAATTAACAGGAAATTATATATATTTAAAAACTAATTCCGTTTTGTATTTGTCAGTTGTCTTTATAATAACAGATCACTTACCATAATCTGTAAATTCTCAAAGAGATAAACTGTGAGATTGACATGTGAGGCAAAAAAAGCATTCAGTCAAACAAAATCTGTTTTACATGTCTTTCTGTTAAGGTCACTGACAAAACAAACACCACTCATATTAAATGTTCACATATTAGAACATTTTGCTAACTGATACAATGAGACACAAAGCACAAACCCAAAACCTGTCACAGTTTAACGCAGGATTAAGCAGAAGAGCCGTAGACATGATACAACATAAAACTCTTTACATAATTAGGCTTGTTATACCTGCGGTCCTTCGTCTTTACATAATTAGGCTTGTTATACCTGCGGTCCTTCGGGACAAACAAACAAATTTGCTACTACCCCTGAGCTACAAAATGGCTTGGTGCCTATTAAGTCAAAATCCTTGACCTGGTCTGCGCCCTGTTTTAAGCTAATAAGTAACATGAGAAATTGGGCTCATGTCCAAAGGTTCAAAGAGACCAGTGGTGATAAGCACTTATGCGGGGGAAATAAAAGAAGCACTATTTTTTATGCACTTTTCCTTGAAAGAGTTGTTAGTAAAATTTTAATGATACTTCCTTAAGGTGTAGATTAGCCTACTTAAAAACTATGTCACCTAATCAGTGGGTCAACATCTGTTAGTAAACTGGTGGATGAAATGAGTTTCAGTTCAATTACTCCACAGTAAATTTTGGCCATACCCATTCTGAAGCTGAATGTAATGTTTAGCCTATAGAAAACGATTATTGGAGTAAAGGTTGGTTTAGAAAAGCCCTGTTACTACACTACAGCATTATTCTGCTTTTGTTACTATATTAAGCATGCATATTAAAGGCAGAAGTACGCTTGCGTGGAACTGCGGTAACAAGGGGACACAAAACTGCTCTGCGCATGCGTGCAGCGTGCCTATCAGATGAGAACAGAAAGGTCTGGAAATCTCCAGAGGAGGTGTCAACAAGTCCTCAGTCATTTCAATGGGCAATTTCACCATATTCGGGTGCTTATGGAGAACGTCCTCCCTATTTCTACTGAATTCGTCCTGATGTGGAACTTTATTCAGTTAAAAATCTAATAAACCTATGGGAGTACAATTTCCTATGTTGGTGGATCGACTAGACACCAAAACTAAATATCCTCTTCAGTGATCCTCAGACCTGGATTATCTTGGGAACTGGACCGTCAGGCTTATATGCCCACAGTAATTCCACACGCCTTTTTTTGACAGGAATGACGGGACTGGTATAACAAAACCCCTTTAATGGAATATGTTTCTGTCGGTCCACAGCTCTCAATAAAGACACCTCATCTAATGGGCATAATACCGGCGTCAAAATATGGATTTAATTTTAAATGTGTGTCAGAGAACTTCTAAATTGTCACAAGAAGTTAGGCTTTATCGCTAGTTGACGTTATTGAGACAATGTTGCCGAGACTCGAGACTCAAGGTGGTAACAGAGTCCAACACACCTTTACAAAAAGCGCCTCTCGGTGTTATAAAGCGAATTTGGTGTCAGTACGCTACTCCAATATCCTTTAATGCAAGCTGATTTTATTTTTATTTCGTCTTTGTCCGCAAGAATTTAGGCGAAGCAAAGGTCAGAGTGATAACAAGTGACCTAGTCTTTCCTTTGTCTAACGCCATTTTGTGTGACTTCACAGCACTAACGTTGTCGTCAGCCATTTTGCCTTTTCTTTTCAAGCAAACAGTCTCTGCAGAGACACGACAAAAACTGAATCATATTTATAGAACCATAGGCTACGTTGTGTGGAAATTGAGCTGACCAACAAAATAATACAAAATGACTAAACGAAGTCTTCCCCTTGTTTAAGCTGTCTGTGATAAGAGTTTGCAGCTGTGAGTTAGTGCATAACCGGTGAAAATAGCCAGCTGTGTCAATTTTGATGAACGTGTTTTTGTTTTTTGCATTCAATCCATTTTGTGTTATACTAGCTAGCCCACCTAATGCGAATTTGTTTTATGGTAAAACCTCGATGTGAGTTCTGTGGCCCTCTTGAAATATCCCCTTTAAAATTGATAATGTAGCCATCATGTATAAAATTGTGTTTACATTTATTTTGCAGAATACGTTTGTGTTCATGGTATTTACTGGTAAAGAGTAAGTGGTTCTTCCATTGTTTTATACATATAGACCTATACCAATTGAATAAACAGTTTTATATATATATAGACACTAAATACATTCTTGAGCTGTGAGTTTCTGCTTCTTCCTTAAATCACACCAATTAGTGGGATAATTAGAATCAGCTGATTGCTCCCAGCTAGCTTGAGTATAGCAACATAACATAAACATAGTAAACCTCACTTATTTTGACCCTCATTTATCAATAGGCCATGGAAAGGGTTACAATGGCCTTAGGCTCTGGGCCCCCACAAAGAAAATTACTCTTCCTAGAGTAGCTGCCATGCCAAAATATTTTCAAGATTACAGCATCACTTCCTCCAAGAGGTCACACATACTCTTATTATAATGTCCTGAACTGCACATTTGTTACCTGAGTTAGTGTTAATAAACTGACAATCACAAAGAAAATTACATAGGAGAGTAACAGACAAGAAAATCCATTTGGCAAAGTTTGTAAAGAAGCTTAATGATAAATTCAAAGACATCAGGAAGAAAGTTATATGAGGCAGATTATACTGTGCGCGTCATATTACCTTTTCACATGGTGGTTGGATAAAACTTTTTCTAAAAAATAAGGTTAAAGAGCTGGAAATGGGTTTTTTTTGTTTTTTTTACAAAATGGAATACATGAATTCACTATAATACACTCCTTGGACTTTTTAATGAAAAAAAAAAATCATTCAAAAACATTCATTGTTGATGTAGCCCCAATATGGCTTAGACTAATAATGGCATTCAAAGAAGTGGCACTAAATTTTAAAATCCGAGTGGCTATCTCTGATGCTCCTTCTCTTTTGCCCGTAGTCTTTGTTGATGCTCTCGTTTTACGTAGTCTGTAAAATCCTCTTCATCCTAGATGCACACACCAAATATGACAGAAGAAATGCACAAACACACACGAAATAAAGTGTATAAACAAGCTGCTGGCCAGGAAGAGTATGGATGGATGGATTCTGAACTGCTTAAACAGGCTAGCTCAGTAAAAGAAAAAGTAGGCTCACTATTCTGAATCAGAGAATACTTTGACCTGAATCTGTCTTGGGGATCTTAAACCTTCTCCACCTGGGATACAAGTTTGAGAAGTTCAGACTCATCTGGGGACCTAGTCTAATGAACACATTGATATTCTGCCCCAGTTTTGGGGTCCCGATGGACAGAAAGTGCTTTCGGCCCCGTGTGCTGCTTCCAGGGAGACTAACTGACCTGTGAGGATGCCGCATCCAGCAGATCCATTGTGGGGATTAGACAGCTGGCCTCACCCAGGAAACACATTAGGATGTGGAGCACGTCAGTCCAGCGTCCAACAGTCAGCATCAGGACCAGCAAACCACCGAGACGCACCACCACTGTGTTCAGGACAGCCTGGCTTCCAGGCAGACGGTGCTGTTCCTCTGCAGAACCAAAACATAGCATTTAAGGGAAATACTTAATGAAAATGTGTACAGTTCAGGGTCCTCAAAGACCAGTCTTGAGGGAAGTACTATCACAAGGCTGTAGCATTAGTGAAGGTCCTGCAGATTGACCAGTGTCTAATGAGCATTGCACTGTGATCTCTGACATAAATGTTTCCCATTTTATATGTTTCTCACCCTGCATGTACACGACCAATAGTGTGTAGCAGATAGTCAGTGGTGTCCAAAACCTGAGGGCCTCTGTTGCAGAGAGAAAGTGTTGATTGATGATAGAAATGGCGGCCACCACAGCCACACAGAAAGTAATAATCATAGTCCTGCACAGCATTGGAAACAGGCAGCGGCCTGATGTGAGGAGGCTGATGCAAATGCCGCAGTAGCGCTGTGAGCTGTGGAGTTTATACAGAGCCATGACATGGTGCAGCAGGAGTGAGGCCTGCCTAGCCAGGAGCCAGCTCAGTGCTGCTGCCAGGAGCAGGCATAACCAGCGATGGGATGCCCCTCGTGGAGAAAATGCAAACTGCAACTCAGGGCACAGCCCAGAGAGAACTGGCTTTGAACTAACAGCTGCTGCAGAAATTTCCTGGACTCCTGGGGAATAAAGGAGCATATGAACAGAACTGATGGATGAAACAAAAAGATGATGGGCTGTTTGTTATAATTTTTATTATGTAATTGGTTTCTTACCGGTCCAGCTGTAACCCATCCAGAGACTCCTCGAAGACAAAACTCTAGTACCACCAGGGAGGCAACACGGGAGCCTACTACAGCCAGCAGCCCAGTCACAAAGAAAAACTGGAGCATCCCAATAAGTCCAGTTTGAGTTCTTTGATGACTGGGCGTCCTCTGGCTTGATGTATCCTTATCATTTGTATCACTCCAGCTGTGGGTTGTGAGGAAACAAATCAAGTAAGAAATAAAAGTAAACTGTAAAGGATCTGTACCAGCACTGAAATAGGAACATTTTGATGAGAACAGTGAATACTCGAAATCCAGCAAATTGGTCAGCTTATGCAACATATCACTAAATTAATCTTCATGTAAAGATTTATTAAAAGGCACCTCCTCACCTTTCCTCTAAAAATAAGAGCAATCTCATCAGGGAGCGTAGCACAGAGATCCCACATGCAGCTACCAGTCCTGCAGGTCACATAACACTGAATTTGCAACCAATAACACATTCCGGCCGTTCAGTTTTCAAACAGCCTGTAGCAATGTGGACAGTAGAGGAAATGAATGGATGAGGAGCTCACCTTGAAGTAAACTATCCAGTGGATTGGTTTCTAGAGTCAACCACCCAGGTAGAAAGTCGGAGGTCGGAAGAAACGACGTGATAAAGGATAACATCGTACTAACTTTGACTTAAAGAAGTAAATGTCATTTAAATGTCAGAGGTAAGTCTAATTAAGTAATCACACATTCAAGATCCATATTTTGTGGTTACTCCAGCTCAGGGTTACAATAATGTGGAGTATCAGCTCAGCTCTTCCGTTTGTTTCTATTGACTAAGTGTTGAACTTTGCTCATGCAGAAGCCTGTTTTGTGTCCTTTACCATACCAAAGGTCATCTGAGAGTCTGTGCAGCAGAGGCACTAGGCAGCCTGAGTCATAACAAGATAATGGAGGTAATTGCGCCATGGGAAATACTATACACTCTGAATGATGGCAGGCATTAGTTGAGCACAAGATGTCTGAAAGCTACAATATAGGCAGTGCTCTGAAAAGGACTCTGAAGTTTCTTTATACAGCCCATAATTTCAGAAGGCTGTATAATCTGTACCTTCTTAGATATTTTATTTGGATAAAGAGAAACTTAACACGTACACACAAAAAAAGCAACACATCATGGATTCCTCTTCCTAGACAGATAGACATACAATCTGTGTCAC